AATTACAATGGCACTCTGATTTGCTGCATTTCGATATTATTTCTACATTAATTGATGAGGTAACAATTATGAATATAACGTATCATCTCATGATTCGTGCTGGCAACGGAGCTTTATCTGATACACACTACGTTTTCCAGTGAGTCTCGGGTACTAGTGTTGGTCATGGATTTCCAGCAGAAAACACCCACTATTTGTCTGTCGTTGATATATTTTCGCTACATTAATATCATTATATTTTTCTACTAAAGATGGAGCACGGTGATTCACCATAATTACAACAAATGCCAAAAATGATAACTGGCAACTCACAGATACTAGAAGGCAGCCTTCCACCATAATGCAGGAATCACAATTAGTGATCGGAAATATTCGTCCATTGTGACACATTGTATCGATGAGAAAAGGGGCCGTGGCGCTCGAGTTGACATGCCTGTATCTACAGGTACGTCATTGAGTGTGAAAGATCCTTCCTACGACACTTTTAATTTCCTCCAACACTAAAATAATCTTCCTCTAATAATTCATAGACGAAATGGTCAAACTATAAGGTGTCATCGTGCAGGTGGGGAGGCTGTGTTGGCCACACCCTCGTCAATATTTAATACCAGCAATATACATTCATTGTCACACGACGACGAGATGCCACATTTCCACTTTTGTGTTGTGAGTCTCGAGCATTAAACGTGAACCCCGATTTCCCTTTATCATAAATATAAAGGATAGTCAGCCTCCGTGGATGATACACTTGGTCTGACGTAGGTCGTGCGGGCGTCTTTATCAAAAACAAACTTACGCTTTCCATCTTCCGAAGAAATGCACTCCTTCCTTATTTTTTTAAGATAATATAATCATTAAATATATTCTAATTAATCAGAATGCTTAATTCCTAATGTCTGAAAAAGGTAAACAACTGAGATTTCCCTTCCTGTTTTTTAAAATCCTCTAAGCATTATTTATACCATTACGTAAAACTAAAATTTTTCCTCAAGTCTGAGCTCAACTAATTCTTATCTAGAGTAAAAGTGTGCCCCATCCTTCATCTTTAAAGCCTCTCATTCTTATTTAGAAGTAAAGAAATGTGCTTCCCTTCATAAGCAGGTCCAGGCAGGTGGATATAACACAATAACGCAAGTCTGTCCCCGCGTGCAACTCCAGCTTTTCCCCGAGGCAAAACTCTATTATGAAAAACAAAGTCAAAATGAGTGGTGCAGCTCCTGTTAATTACTTTAAAAACTTCTTTAATGAGAGGCTCAGAATCAATCCCCGACGCCACAAGTTTGTTATCAGCTCGAGAATGCTTAGTGGCGCCTCCATGACGCACCTCCCCCCTGCAGTATCCCCAGAGGTTCTTAAGTCAAATTCTCTTCCCTTAAATGAGAATGTATTCATATTTTCCTCTTAAGTGGAAATGTGAGAGAGAAAGATAATGATGAGATTCTTGTGTTATAATTCTCTTTGTTATATTTTCTCTTCATGATGATGTAAGACTATTATTCTTAATATTTCCTAAGTTAAATATTCCTTTATGTGGTCAACCGACTGAGCACTGTTCCAATAAACCCATACGACAAATTTTCCTCGTAATGTGTTCAATTTTCTTCTAAGTGGTCCAGAAGTGTTCATGATCTTGAGAGATACGAACATAATATTTTTCCTTTCGATTGGTGAATGTTAGCAAATCTATATAGACGAATAAACAACTGAATCAAGATACGAGGTAAAATTGCATTGGAACTGAACTGAAACTCAACTGTGATAATTTTTTCTTATCCCATGTCAAGTCCAAATAAATCAACAGAGAAAACTCTTGAGAATCTGTGCACCGGTCTCACATGTCCTTACACCCGAAACTTCAGTAACTTTTAAGTAATTCAATAAAGTTTTACCAAGAGACTGACACACCAGCCCCAAGGAATGGTCTAATAAAAGATTTACAGGAGTGAACATGAGATGCGAGTTAGTCGGCAGTTATACGTATACAGTATTATCTGCAGCGTCAAAAACTTACCGTAACATAAATGTCCTTAAGTCAGTTGTCAGTGCTGAGATCCAACTCTATTTGTATACAGATACCAAACGCCAGACGAGATAAAAGCGTCTGAGACAAAGCAACTGACTCGTCTTTGTTCCCTGGCGCTCGCGAGAACACCAGCCCAGCCCGCCGACACACACACACGCGCGCAGCAGGAATCTTATTCCTAGATGTTCGTACGTTAAATGTCCCCTTCTCTAACCTGTAATGTGAGAATGTATCATACTGGCTCACTTAAAAATACAGTGACTTAAACGATGTAAAATGTGCAGAGGCTCTCTACCGTAACAACATGTCCCCTCTTGTCCCCAGGCACACTGTAAAATATATCGGATGGTAGTTTGAGAATTCAGGCTCCATCCATTCTCTCCCTACCTACTACTAAATGATCTTTAATCACTGTTTGCGGCTTGTGGTTCCCTTGATTGCTCTGATCTCTTGGCCGATGAGACAAGAGTTTGAAGTTGTGGACCGCTGGGTTTTCTTATATATAAATCAAAGGCGGGAATCTCCTTTCGATCGGGATCGTTAAGGAACTCCAGAGGAACAGTCCCAATTAGGGCGCTCGTTCAGACACCAGAGTAAAAACGCCATTGGATTACGGGAAGCCTTTGATGGCCTCCAACAAAGACTTCCCGTCTCTCCCAAAATAACTTCTCCCGGGAACTAATCTCAGTGGGACAACTACATTTACCCGCTAATGGTCTCACTTTGTTCTTTTTGGCATTAAGCAATATCAGAAAGCATATACACTGTGTGTGTGTGTGTGTGTGTGTGTGTGTGTGTGTGTGTGTGTGGTGGGTGGGTGTGTGTGTGGTGTGTGTTTGTGGGTGTGTGTGTTTGGGTGTGTGGTGTGTGTGTGTGTGTGTGTGTGTGTAATAATAATAATAATAAACTGTTTATTGAAAGAACATGACAGCCAAAAGGCTGAAAATATTCAGTTAACATAGATGATGAAAGTTACGTCACTTGATTCACAAAAAATATACAAGTAACATAAGTGGTGCAAATTTTTAATAAGAATGGGGGGGGGAGGTCACCCAACAGGGCATTTCAGCATCGCAACAACACAAAAGTAAGGGTGGCAGGGAGTGAGGAAACTGGTTAACTACGAGTTGTTGATAATTTTTACAATGGTAGGGATTGGGCTGTTAAATATAGCGATCAGTACGTACTCGTATGGGCTGGATGTGGATGTAGTGTCGAACAACAATTCGCGGACGAGGGATCTCGGGTGGGAGCAGGAGAGGATGTCGTCGGTCACTTAGGAAGCTTGTAAGACATGGTATAAGACTTCTCCGAAACCCGAGATCGGTAGCTTTGTTGATGATTAAACTGTGGTCGACTAGGTTAAATGCCTTCATGAAGTCAATGAAGGCGACAGCCACAGACGTCTTTCATTTTTCCAGATGGCAGTATATGTAGTCGAGAAAGCTGACAAGACAGTGAGTGGTGGAGGAAGTTTTCATATTGCCAAATTGTTGAGGATCTATGACGCCTGCAATATCAGTATAAGCCCATTCAAAATGAAACTTTCGCAGATTAAGCTGGGTATTGGGGGTGATGGCAACGAGTAGTAACTCATTTATGGATTGTGGGCTTCTGTATATGACGTCCTTGTCTACTACTACGAGCATGAAATGTTGAAATTTGTTCAGTGATTTTAGTAGCACAATAACACTGCCATCAGGTTATCTATTCCCTCACTTTAAACTGTACAAGGTGCATCTGGAGTACTTCATTGGTGGCCATCTGTCAGTATCTGTTGTTGTAGACGTACGGAAGTGTTTGTCCGTAATGGCCTTGACTCGATGGTGGCACTTTGAGAGCCACTGACAAAATTTCCCTTATGTGGCACACTGGTACACATCTATCAATACTTGTTTAGTCGTAAACACCACGCCTGTCCGTAACGGTCCTTATCTCTGGCACATGAGGGTCACCGACAAAGTACCCTCGGGTTTGTACTACATTACTCACTGGTGATAGTTATTGTGAATCACGCTTGTTTTCCTTGGGATACACTATTGGATCACAGTTTGATTACCAATCTCTGCACTGATCGCTTGAATGTTTTGCTGAAAAATCCCGGGTAGTGAGGTTGGTAAGGAGATGGGGAACGGTAGGCCGGGGGCAACAGACTGGCCGAGGCAGCCAGGAGGCGCCAAGAACACGTTTGAACTATAAGGGCACTGAGATACACGTACTGTCGTTCGTACGTACGTACGTACGTGTGTGTGTGTGTGTGATATTCCTATCGTAAGTGTGGACATGTATATACTGCGTGTGAGGAGTGAGTGCAGGATCACAGGATTAAAGATAATATCTGCTTCAGGACTATGGAAATAGAGTTTGACGTAATCCAGTTGCACAAAGACATCCATCCGTATACACTTTATGCTTGCCATCTGCCCTGATAAATAACGAGTCGTTTCTGAAGTTTAAAACACCACACCGCCCTCCTACACCGCTAAAGGATGAAAGGATTATAAGTTTAACAAAAAGGGAAAAAATTCTCAGATTCAGTGACAAATCAAAACTTACCTACACTCTACTGTGCCTTGGTGCAATACAACAGGTAAATCTAAGACACAACTTAAGGAAGAGTCTATGTGTTTGGTGGTGTGTGGTCCCAGTAATCCCTATCTGTCCAAAACCTTGTGATGATAATTCTTCTACCGCGTAATGGATTTTTTTAGGGCGCAACTAATGCATCCACCGAGTAATTCTGGGTACTCTTTCCTCTTGCTAGTAAGACACTACGGAAAAATATGATGTAACTGCCAAATAATAAACAGCTTGATATGACTATCTGATGGCTTTGTTAACTGCAAAAAAAAATAATGAGGTAAACAAAGTCCCACCACCTCATGTCAGATTAGATGGGACTTTGGCAGGAAAAGGAGAACCCCCCCCCACCCCCCTCAGTGAGAGAGGTGTGAAGGACGAGGGTGGTGGTACTGACCAGCGAAGACGGCGGTGCTGTTGTGGGAGGGGTCGAAGGGGCAGAGTCCACGACCTGGGTACTCCCTCTCGCGCTCCAGCACTCCACCCTGCAATACACCAACACCCACATCAGTTAAACAGTTTACGCACACAAGAGCATGTTAACGTATGGCTCTTTGCTCTATTACAAAAACACTACATAAACATACTAAAGCTGTCTTTGCTTTATATAAAAAATTACTTGGTAAACTTACCTTTGCTCTCTATATATAATACCACTCCATTTTGACTCCCTGTCCTCAACCAACTACTGAAATATACACCAACCTTCTACAAGTCTCCAGACCCTGTATTAGTGGCCGTAGGTGTACTTTTACGTATCATTACTTGCATCTGTACTTATACTTGTTCCCGTATATGTACACTCGCACCAAAAATTATCGGTGCAGGGTGAGATCGACGAGTTCCGAAACAATACGTATACACTGTGATATGTCGGGAAGGTTGGTAAGTGTATCCTCATAACCCCCCCCCCCTCCACTAGGTGTTGCCATATGGCTGACAATCAGGGCTGCCAACATGCGGCTGGAACAACTCGCCTTTCCCAATACCTATCGTCACTGGTCTCAAATTTTTCACACTGCAGTATGCACCGATACTTTTTGTTGCGAGTGTACTTTTACCTGTATTTATATGTGTATCAGTATTTATACCTTTACCTGTACCCCTAGTTGTACCCGTACCCATATTCATACCTGTACCTGCAATTATATCCGAACCTGTAAAGTTCTTTCTAAATGAGTAAAGTATAAACCATGGAGGAAGCAACTTACCGATAGTGTAAAGTCCCTGCACATGGGGTTGTAGGCGTTGGTGCCGCAGATGAGGAAGTGACCTGGGGCCTTCTCCTTCAGGATACGCACGTAGTTCTGGCACACCTCCTCGGACCCGCCCTTCATGTAGCACGACTTCATCTGCGCCGCGTTGGGGTGCCATTCCACCCTCTGCTGGGGAACATGGTGAGAGGGGGACGAGAGGTTAGATCACTGTCATACTGACGAGGTTAGTTATATCACACACACACACACACATATATATATATATGTGTGCACAAGCCGCATACACACGTGTGCAGACATACAGGCACACACACGCACGTGCACACCAACAGAAATCAGAGTAGATGAAGGTAAAAGACAATCCCAGAACAAAACATAATAACAGTAAACAATGTCATGGAGAAATCCTTCCCTAGGAAGATCAGAGATTACAGATGTGTGTGTGTGTGTGTGTGTGTGTGTGTGTGTGTGTGTGTGTGTGTGAGTGTGTGTGTGTGGTGAGGTGTGTGTGTGTGTGGTGAGGTGTGTGTGTGTGTGTGTGGTGAGGTGTGTGTGTGGTGAGGTGTGTGTGTGTGTGGTGAGGTGTGTGTGTGTGGTGAGGTGCGTGTGTAGTGAGGGGTGTGTGTGTGTTAGAAAACATTAAAACCAACACAATAGTGGACACCACTACTGCACCCTCAAGCGTCAGTGTTACATAAAAATTATTTTATAAAATTTAATACCTTTTTTCCGTTAATATTAATACCATTTATTTCTGTTCAGTGGATAGAGCGCTTGCTGGTTCCGTCCCGGGGCACACTTGGTTCACGAGAAAACAGTGGAGAGCAGTAGCTGTAACCCCACTGCCTATGGGACCCACCTTCACTTTTCATTTTCATTCGGATCACAAAACTACGGTCGCCTAATCAGGAAACTTGCAATAGTCAATTACGCTCAGATGGCATCATTTCTTTCCAAAAATAACGTTATTGTTCATCAAACAGATCATTACATTCGACGAGGCACATCATTACCTTCAAGATATAATACTCTCGACAAATCACACCACACCAAGTTCACCAAACTGAACCATCATATTTAACAAAATGAACCACTATACTCGCCAAATCGAGCCATCACATAAACCAAATCAAGTTACCCCATTCACCAAAACAGGCCATCATGTTCACATAATCTACGATACGTTGGCTACATCACACCATTACGTTCATCAATAACACACCATCACGTTTGCCAAACAACGTCATTACTTTAGTAAAATCACGCTCATTTATTCGCCAAATCAGGCCATTACGTTGACTGAATCAAACACACAATTATGTTAGCCAAGTCAAACCATTATGTTCGCTAAATGATGCAGCCACGATCGCCAAATCCTGCACCATCTCGCGAAGCCTCGTGCACGACAGTAACACCGAGGGAGCCAAGCAGCACTCATCTCTCCTTCCCCTTCTTCCTCCCTTCCCTCCTCATCTTCCTCCCTTCCCTCCTCAACTTCCTCCCCTCCCTCTTCCTCCCTTCTCCTTTCTTTCCCTCCATTGTTACTTCCTTCAATCATTCACTTTCCTTATTCCTTCCCTCCATTACCCTTCTTCTTTCATTATTCCAGTATCCTTCTTCTTTCCTCTCTTCCTTCCCTCCCTTTCTCCATACCTACCCTTTTCATTCTCTACCTTTCTTGCCCCCCTCCCCTCCCTCAGTTTCCGTACACCAAAAGTTAACACGGTAAAGTCGTCTCCTCTGCCTGCTGATGTGATAAAGTATCTGGATAACTCGTTCTAAACTACGGCATCTGGATAACTCACTCTAAACTACGGCATCCATAAAACTCACTCTAAACTACGACATCAGAATAACTCACTTTAAACTACGACATCTAGATAACTCACTTTAAACTACGACATCTAGATAACTCACTTTAAACTACGACATCTAGATAACTCACTCTTAACTACGACATCTGGATAACTTACTCTAAACTACGACATATACTGTAGATACCTCACTCTAAACAACGACATCTGGATAACTCACTCTTAACTACGACATCTGGATAACTCACTCTTAACTACGACATCTGGATAACTCACTCTCTACTACGGCATCTGGATAACTCACTCTAAACTACGGCATCCATAAAACTCACTCTAAACTACATCAGAATAACTCACTTTAAACTACGACATCTAGATAACTCACTTTAAACTACGACATCTAGATAACTCACTCTTAACTACGACATCTGGATAACTTACTCTAAACTACGACATATACTGTAGATACCTCACTCTAAACAACGACATCTGGATAACTCACTCTTAACTACGACATCTGGATAACTCACTCTAAACTACGGCATCCATAAAACTCACTCTAAACTACATCAGAATAACTCACTTTAAACTACAACATCTAGATAACTCACTCTAAACTACAACATCTAGATAACTCACTCTAAACTACGACATTAAAGATGAAGGCATAAACGACTCTAAAACTAGGAAGGAAAGACGAGAGAGAGAGAGAGAGAGAGAGAGAGAGAGAGAGAGAGAGAGAGAGAGAGAGAGAGACGGCGTTCATCCTTAATTAATACAGAACGGGAGTTTAAGCGACCCGTTAAAAAAAAAACCAATGTTTAAGAGCAAGAGAGAAAATATACAGTAAAATCCTTCAGCAGCTGTAAAAAAAATCCTAAAATACTAATAATTTTTCTGTAGAGAACATTTAAATACATATACGAAGCTACATAATCTACATAATACAGCAAGTTACTAAAAATTATCTTTGTAATATAATAGCAGCATAATAATCTACATAATACAGCTAGTTACTTATAAATTATCTATATAACAAAATAGGAGCATAGTAATAATCTACAATCATACTAGACACTTTAAAATTATCTACAGAATGTAAATGCAGCTTAATGATCGTCTACTAAACATACACGCAGCTTAATAATCATCTACTAAACATAGAGGCAGCTTAATAATAATCATCTACAGCTTAATAACATCTACTAAACATACACACAGCTTAATAATCGTCCACGAAACATATAAGCAGCTTAATAATCGTCTACTAAACATATATGCAACTTAATAACATCTACTAAACATACACACAGCTTAATAATCATCTAATAAACATATACACAGCTTAATAATCATCTAATAAACATATATACAGCTTAACCCTCTACTAAACGTATATGCAGCTTAATAATCATGTAAGACAATAAAACCAGAAGAAGGATAATCCCCAATAAACAAAAGAATGCAATAAGCTGAGGCTGGGGAAAAAACCCGACTCGACAAAAATAAGAAAGGGCGGGAGAATGGACCAATCAGCGCGGGGCGGCCTTGACAGGAGAAAATTGGCATTTGCCTCGCGCGTTTCCTCCTGGGGATGAGTCCAATGTCAGCCTGGGGTCTCCTAGGTCTCCTGCACCACCACCACCACCAGTGTCAGTCCCGGGGTCTCCTAGTTTTCCTACACCACCACCATCACCAGCGTCAGCCAGCAGTCTCCTAGTTCTCCAGTACCACTTATAGCCCTACACCCTTTTCTCCCCAAACTGCTGTCGTCCGCCGCCGCTACCACCACTGCTACACCCTCAGTCATCACCGTCACACCACACTCATAACCCTTACAAACGACGCATCAACACAACCACTACTATCACCACCACCATCATCACCACTACAACCACCACCACCAATATCATCACCACTACCACCACTATACCCACCAACACCACCACCACCCAGCGAATGTGACGTGACCACACCACAAACCACCAAGAGAAATTAACATGTAGAACCAACCAGACGTTAACACACGACTGGTTTCAGTGTTAAAATGTGTACAGTGTGAGGCTCTCAATACCCAGAGAATATAAGTAACACAAGCTCATAAAACATTAACATTAACAACTAATAAAATCCACGTGACTCCATTAACAAAATTATATACCCTGAAGGCTTCATGGTAATTTTACTGATATATTTATATAATACACAAAAAGTTAAACCGTAAAATGACTTGACAGTTTAATCAAATGCTTATCGAGAGAGAGAGAGAGAGAGAGAGAGAGAGAGAGACGATTTTTTCCAGTGAGCATCCATGCTGTAATTTTCCCAGTTTGGTAGAGGTATAAAGTATTTCATTTCATTCATTATAAACAGATGGTGATGATGATGATGATGGATAGTGGTGGTGATGTTGATGAGTTTATAGTGGTGGTGATGATGAATTTATTGCGGTGATAATAATGATGATGAAAAACTGCAGTATATGCACATCACTGTTGTGTACACATACACAAACCAACCTCACCCATAAACACACCCATACCCACACACAACCACTCCATCCATCCATCAACTCATCCACCCACCCACCACATCCACACACACACATGATACGGTCAACTGGGTGGGTATGTACGGTAACCGAGGTGAAATTATCCCAAATGAAGAATAATTACGACATGGAACGGAACACGACCTGAGCTGTACCATAAGTTATACGTCAAAGAACGGAACACGGCTTGAACTGTACCATAAGTTATACGACATAGAATGGAACACGACCTAAACTGTACCATAAGTTATATCAAAGAATTGAACACGGCCTGAACTGTACCATAAAGTTATCAGTTCAAGAATTTTCAAATACGTGGACTGGGAAAACAAAAATAATGATACATAAATTACACTGTATAATTTCTGACGTGGTAAAAATACAGAAAAATAAATAAACTAATGGAAAAAAAAACGACAGTATCTTCTCAACAGTGACAAAAAAAAAATTGAAATTATACATTGATAGAGACATGGATTGTTATAATTACACAATGATATAAGTTATATATAAACTAACGTGCAGAAAAAACTATAAATGTTAAATAAAAAAATAAAAAATACCGATACCAAAAATTATATACATCGACTCGCCAACGGGAGAGAAAAAAATGAGAGGGAAGGGGTTTGTAGGGGGGAAGGGGGAGAAGGGGGGTTGTAGTGAGGGGGAAGGGGGTTGTAGTGAGGAAGGGGGTTGTGTGGGGGGAAGGGGGTTGTAGTGAGGGGGAGGGGGGTTGGTAGTGAGGGGGATGGTCATATCTAAAAGCTTTTAAAAGAACAGTTTGCCATCACTATAAAAGGACA